CGCCCCCCGCCCCCCCCCCGACTGGCACCCCCTCAGCACCGACAGACACACGCACGGACCCCCGCCACGGCCAGACAGAGGGACGCGCCAAACCTCCCACCCTGGACGGACTCGCCGACACCCCCTGGACAGACGGACGCACCGAAACCTCCGCCCTGCACAGACCGACTTGCTAACACCCCCCGGATGGACAGACACACTGAAACCCACGCCGTGGCGGGACGACGTGCAGACCCCCGTCCCCCTGCCCATGTAGATGGACGTATGACTCTCCACTCAAGACAAGCAGATCTCCCCCGGGCGTCTGCCCACCCCTCCAGGGACAGACGGACGCCCCTGCGGAGCACGGCGCCCCAGCGGGACCTCACACCCTCCCTGCCCCACCCAGCACCTCCGGGCAGCGGCCAGAGGGACGGACAGACGGGCACTGGCTGGCCCCAGCCGAAGCATCCAGTCGGAGCTTAAGGTGGAAGCGTCCAGGGCCCTGCAGGCGCTGCACAGAGGTGGGTGCTGGCCCCAGGGCTGGGGGGGCCCTTCTGTCCCGCTGGCCCTTTATGCCTGGTGCAAGCAGGGGCAGGTTTGGCCCTGGGCTCTGCACTCCCCTCAGCGCAGCCCTGATCCTGCCCCCTCCCGGGCCCCTCGTGCCTCCCGCCAGGATCGTTGGTGCCACGGAGAAGCCCCAGGCTCAGGATCCGCCGCCCACTCCCGCAGCACCCCAGTGCCTAGACATGGGGGTCTGCTCCCACCCCCCTCAACCCTCCAGGCCTGGAGCAGCGGCCCTCCCTTCGCTGGGGCAGCTTGGCCCATGCCTGCTCCCCGAGGGCAGCCCCCAGTGCCAAAATGCAGCCGCCTCTGGGTTGGGGCTGGCAGCCAGGGAACGGGCATGGGGCGAAGCGGCCGTGGCCCAGGGGTGGGGATGTGGCCAGGGCCAGGAGGGAGGATGGCAGGCTCCACCTCAAGAGCTCCCTGTCTGGGGCCGGGCTCCCTGGCAGGGCTCCCCTCCAGAGCCAGTACCCGCTGATTCACTGGGTGGTGCTGGGATGGGCCCGATGCCAGGCAGGGCCGTGCTGGGGCCTGCAGCCAGCCCCTGCATGGAGGGCAGCTGGCTCTGCTGCGCCCTCCGTGCTGGAGCTGGGAGCCGCGGTGCCAAGGCCAGAGGCAGGCTGGCAGTGGCAGCGCTCGGGTCCATGTGAGTGGGCATCACCCTGCCGGCACAAGAGCCTTCCCTGGGAACCCCCTGCTCGGCAGCACCCCCTTGGCAGCAAGGACCACACTGTACTTGCCCGGCCAGGCAGCATGGCGTGGCCTGCCCCCACCCTGCCCTGCCGGGAGATGGCGTGGCCTGGACTGACCTGTGCTGGAAGGCGCTCGTCCTGGGAGGCCCTGGTGCCACCCAGTGCCCATGACGGGCTGCAGCCAGCGCACCCCCCCGCGCTGCTGGGACCTCACATGCTGTCTGCAGAGAGGTGACGCAGGTGGCACCGGAGCCTTGACAGAGCACGTGAGGCCTGAGGTGAGGCCTGTGGGCAGGGCAGGGCAGGGGGTGGGTAGGGGCTGTGCCACCCCTGGGCTGCAGCCTCCATGCAGCCCCACAAGGGTCACGCTTAGTGCCTGTGAGGTCGGGGCGCTGTGGCGGGCTGGGGACACGGTGCCAGGGAGGCTGCGGGTGCTGTGGGGCAAAGAGCAGGCACGGGGGGGCAGGGGCAGAGCCCCTGGATGGGCACGCGGCCGCGCTCATCGTGACCTTTCCCTTGCAGGGCCCTGAGGAGCCGCCTGCCCTGCTGCTGCGCCCAACCCTCCACCTGCTGCAGTGCCACTGGCCTTCCCAGGGCCCCAGAGCCTGCAGCCCGGCCGTGCCCCTTGCAGGGGCTGGAGCCCTGACACTGAGCACCTCGTGCAGCCTGCTGCCCTTGCCCCTCTGCCGTTCCTCCCTCAATAAAGCCGCTTTATTGGTTGGTTTGAGCCGGTCTGCAGGACTTTCCTGGGGCGGGCCTAGCACAGTGGCTCATTGGGCACAGCGAAGTGCATGGACCCGAATAATGAACTGCAATTTGGGCTGGGATTACAGCTACCAGTCCTTCTTGGGCCAGCTCCTGGACTCTCCTGGACATCTCCGCACAGATGGCGAGTAAATTGGTACCTGGCATGGCCACGGCGTTCTTTGCACCAGACAAAAACATGGTCAAGGGTGTCTGGACGAGTCCCCCAGTGCCACAGAGGCGTGGCGTGGGGTGGCCCAAGAAGAATTTCTGTCACTAATCCCAGTCCAAAAGGAATTCCTTATTTGAGCCATTATACATTATGCAGTTAGCAGCATGGCATGAAGAAACCGCACTCTGGGCTGGGCAGGGATGTCTGGGGGAGTCCACCGGTGCCACGGAGGTATGGCATGGGGTGGCCAAGAAGGATTTCCATCTCTAATCCTAGCCCAGAAAGAGGTCCTTATTCAAGCCACTGTATTTAGTAGTCGCTGGGGGTACTCAGCTCGGCGTCGGGGGTGGGGGTGTCTGTTGGCAGCCGGGCACCGCCGCACCGCGCTTTGGGCCGGGCAGGTCTGCGGTCAGGGTGCTCGGGACTCCCCCAGGGGCACGGAGAGGAAGCGGGGGCGGCCCAAGAAGTGTTTTGTGCCATCACCCCATCCTAACGTGTCCGTCATTTAGGGCTCTGCTCCATGCGCGGGTTGTTACCCCGCACGGCTAAGGGAGTTCGGGGGTTCATTAATAACGAGCTTTTATGAAGTCTAGACTAGCTTTGAAAAAGGAACCGGGAGTAAGCAACCGACTTCAGCCCTACGTGCTCGCGCAGCTTCCCCACCGGGCTGGCAGCCGAGCCCCCGGCGCTCCAGCCGCGCCCGAGCCACTTGCGTGCCCCAAGGGGCGGAGCCTCCCCGCCCGGCCCCAATTGGCTGCCGCGCAGTCAGTGGGCGGGGCCCCAGGCTCTGCCCGGAGGGAGGTTCCCACTTCCGCCCTACCCGCTTGAGGGGGGCGCGGCGGCGCGCTGACGTCACGCGCGGGCGGAAGAAGCCCCTCCTG